ATGTAGTAAACATTATCCAAGAGAATTTGCTAAAACAACAACAACAAATAAATCTGGATATCCTACATATAGAAGAAAAAATAATAAAAGAGAAATTAAAATAAAAATAGAAAGAAAAACAATTTCTATTGACAATACATGCATTGTTCCTTATAATCCATATCTTAGTCAAAAGTATAATTGTTATATTAATATAGAGATATGTTCAAGTATTAAATCAATTAAATATCTTTACAAATATATTTACAAAGGAGAAGATAAAATTTTAATTTCATTAGTAAATCCAAAAAATGAAATTAAAAAATTTGTAAATGCAAGATATGTTTTTGCTTCTAAAGAAAACTGGAGATTATTTAATTTTGGTTTACAACAAAGATCTCATAAAGTTAAAAGACTTCCAGTTCATTTAAATGGTCAACAAAATATTCTTTTTAAAGAAGATAGTAATATACCAACAACTCTTAAAAAAGGAAAACATACAAAGTTAACATGATATTTTGATTTTTGTAATAATAGTCTTAATAATAATGAGATTCAAAGTTTAAAATATATAGATATTCCAAAACATTATATTTGGAAAAATAATAATTGGAAAAAAGAAAAAAGGTGGTGAAAAAGTAATTTCTCTAATACATTTTGTTAATCCAAAAAATGAAGAAAAATTTTACTTAAGAATATAACTAACTCTTGGTGCTAAAGAATTTGAAGATATAAAAACAATAGAAGAAATAACATATAATACTTATAAAGAAGTAGCAATTCAACATGAATTAGTAGATGATGATAATGAATGTGATTCTTGCTTATTTGAAGCAGAAACTTTTAAAATGCCTTCACAATTAAGACAATTATTTGCTACTATTTTGGTATTTTGTCAATCTGCAAATATAAAATATCTTTGGGATAAATATTTTGATGCATTAACTGAAGATTATGATAAAAATAAAGATAGTAAAGAATTAAATATTACAAAACTATTGGTATTTATTGAAAAATATTTAATTCAAAACAGATTAAGTCTTTCTAATTTTCTAGAACTTCCAAAATCTAATTATAGTTTATTAGAAAAAAAACCAACAACAAGCTTTAATTGCTGATAAACAAAATTATAACCAAGATGAAATTGAAAAAATATTACAAGATCATAAGGGAAGTGCCGTTTATTACGTAATTTCTTTTTATTATAAGGTCATACCCCCCCCTGTGATCTAATCAGTAGCCAATTATAATTTTTATATATAATATATAGACGTAATAGACTGGCAACCCCCTCTCCCTCTCTTGAAATTACGTAATAAATGGCACTCCCCTAACCAGAGTAAAAAATTCAACTTGAAAAGCATGTGTGCACTTATATGATCACATGCCTTCTTCATATTAAAATAAGAAAATTTTATATGCGATCCACACATGCATACATTGAATTTTTCACCCTGATCATAACAATACATTTTGGTTATAAAATGGTTTTATGGTTATTTTATCAATTTTTTGTAATTCTGGTATTTATTAAAAAAAAATATATAACATTCACTAACAAGTCATTAAATATTTATAAAATTTCATATCAAATATTTCAAATCAAATATCTATTTTAGTATTTATGTATTATATAATTAATTGAATGCAATATATTGAAAACTCAATAAATTAAATACAATTAATCAATAAAACTTTGTAATATCGTTTGTTAAAATATTTATGGTATGCTTGTAATTGTACAATTACAAAATATTTATTTATACCTAATTTATTTTTAAAAATTGCTATTTACTTAATTTGATTAGAACAGGTGCCAAGAAACTTTTAATTAAATCTGGGTTACGTATAATATCTGCTGACAATTTGATGATGAACAGGAGTATTGTACAATTATTATATAATTTCATATTTTTATTTAGCATTAGTTTATAAAGTCGCCAAATAAAAACTTAACTATATTGCATTGAGTAGATCATGTGATATACATATCACATGATTGTGAAAAATTTTGGTGGCGATTTCGATTATAGAAAGGACGATATACGAATATGTGATCACTGAATGTTTTTTCGTGCAACTTATTCGGTCACCCTAATACAATAAACAACATTTCACTCACCTCTTACGAAGTGAGTGAACATTTGCGTATCTGGTATTGCATTAGGAGGTAGCCGAATATTTAAGTATGTATATTAGGAGGTGACCGAATAAGTTAAACGCAAGCATTTAGTGATCACGGGGGCATTTCGAGATAACTAAGTTATCGCAAACTCATATAATAATGAAATTATTTCTTGTTATTTTTTTTCATGTGTTACGAGTAATAATGTTTATTAAGATTAAGATTCAGCCGATAACTCCCTGCGAATCATGGTTATATTGTAAATTACACAAATACTGTGCTTCGAATACGGTAATTTGACCGCGAAGCAGCACGTGTTCATTTGTTAGATTGTTATCCGACAATTTTATTTACATAAGTATTTCAGTAATAAACTGGTCTAATTTTAGAATATAGAAACTAAGAACCGAATAAAAATAGTTAAATTAGATTAAAAATATATTAAATAAATACAGTTTAGCTAGCATTAACATGTAAAATTTTTATTTGTCTAATTAATAATTTTAAGTTGAAATTAGACGGTTACTTATCTCAAAATATTTATCAAAAAAAAAAAAGACTGTGCATCATGCTTAAGTTGTTTAATTAAAAGCTAAAAAAAAATAAGCAACGTACAGTAGATTTCAGAAATTTGTCAGTTATGGATGTCGAAAACAGCAAAGGACAAATGAATTTGAAATATTTCTATGGGTGATAGGCTAACGAAAATACTAAGCAATAGCATCCAAAATTATAAAGTTTTGTAAGAACGGTGATGGTGTTCTTATGTGCTGTATATCACAATCATGATTACTGATGCAACGATAATTGTAAGCTAGAAAGATCATGGGTAAATCTGAACAACGTAGTACTGAACACTGCGCTTGGATATTACAGTTACAAAAAAAAATTTTTTTTTTTTATCACTGTTTCTTTCTATAAATAGAATCGCTCAATTCGGACCGGTAACAACGATAACAATTTCTGAAAGTAAAATAGTCGGTATGTTTAAAGAAATTTAACCGAAGATATTTTAAGAACAACCTGGTTATTTGCAGTGAGAAGAGAGATTTTAGATATTTCATGTTCAAATGATTGGTAAAAGCAGACACAGAATTATTTTATGGCTGAATTTTTTTTTCATCGTTATGAGTAAAACCGATAACCTAAAAATTTAGCTAACCAATCAAAAGTTTCAAATTAGATGTAACAAAAAAAGGAGCTTACTATAAATTACTTTAAAAATAAATTTTGGTATTTCTCAACCTAATCAAGTAGTGACATCTGACACTAACCTAATTGCGAAAATTTTTTATATCTTGAACATGCTCACCTCAAAATATTATTTTAAAATTTTTATATTCTTTCAAATTTTTTTTTTAACAATAACAAATATTTAATAATCATGCCGTATTATTGCTTTGTAGCTTGAAGAATTTATCTTAATAAACCCCTTTATTTTTGTATTAGGTAATACGTACTATAGAAATATATATATCTGATGTTTTGGATACCTAAAATATTAATAGAGTTTTTAGACCTTTTTGTATTTATTATTATATAGAACCAAATTTGTTATAATGTTTTTAGTACAAAATTTTGATCATTTACTTTAAAGGCATTATTTACAATAATAACACCATCTTTGATTATTCAAATAATCGTGCTAATTCTTTTCCTTTTTCGCATTAGATCTTCATAACTTATGTAACAGGATTTTGCGTAAACATGTTTTCAAATAAATACTTTTTCTCTCAGAATTATTTTAGCAATATATAAAACGAAGTCATATTACAACTCTTAATTTGTTTTCGTGGCTTATGATTGGTTTAAAAGTTATCTATGCACGCAGCATTTCAAGCATAACTGTTCTATTCAATCAGATTAAAGCCCGCTATACTATTTTAATTAAAATTGATTTGTACATGTATCATTTTTATAGTAGTCATATGAACTTTGATATGCAATACTCGTCATTTATTGAAACATTCCTCAAATAGCGAAAAACGATATGCTTACAAGTCATACTGATGCATTGCATGGTACGTGCGTTCGTACGTATGTGCTTCTATGGAAGGGTAAATAAAAATTATTTACGTGAAACATTTGTCAAATTCAATTTAGAAATTTATTTGCTGTTATTGGCACACAACATAGACGACCCATTAAGCATATGAGTTACACGACGTTTCAGATAGAAATAGAATTGCCGAAAAAGCCGTTTTTTACAAATATTTGCCAATCAAATTTTCAAATCGGTAGTTTCGGTAAATTTTTTTTACTACATGAAACATTTGTGAAACATTTGTGGCCTTCTATTTTTTTTCCTTAATATTTTGCAACACTGAATTTTTTTTTTTTTTTTTTTTAAGAAAAATTTAGTTTAGCCCGTAAAACTAACGTCTCCGATGGTCAATTTCTCCTAGAGAAAAAAAGATTGCATTTTGACTTTTTTTTTTTTTATGAATTATTTAATGATATCTCATCTTGACCAAAAATCTTAATATTTATTTCTTACGTGATTAATTATTTTATGTTTTATTATTATTATCATTTTTTTTTAACGACTATTATAATACGACAGTAAGAAACGACTTTTAAATTTTGGTAAGTGTTAAAGATTATTTTGTAAATAAAATTTTTATAAAATCTTTATATTTTATAGATTATTTATAATTTTTTTGATCAATAAATTCATAATAGAAATAAAAAATGGGATCAAGAAGTAGTAAAAGAGCCGTAGATAATTCGGAGTTATCTGATGAGATGTCAACAGAAAAACTGGAACATCAACATGGAAAATATGGAGAATGTAAAGAATGCATGCAACAAAATACTGGATATGGATGGTGCATGTCCTGCAATGCAGAACACTTTCAACAACAATTCGATCAATGGACAAGTGGTAATAGTACGATCGATAGATTTATTCAAAACGCACAACTAACTGCGACTAATTGTTGGGAAGTATTAGAATGGGTTCCATACGAAAGATTTTTTAGTGTTAAATATCTTGGTAAAGGTGGTTATGGAATTGTATATGGGGGAAATTGGGATGATGGATGTATTAAAAGATGGGATGATGAAACTAAACAGTGGAGTAGATTTAGTTATCAGGATGTTGTTCTTAAAAGTTTACGTAATTCAAAAAATCAAATTGAGGAATTTTTGGAAGAGGTATTTATTTATCTAATATTTACTATAATTTTTATTAATTTTTATTTTATTAATTTTTATTTTCATTTTTATTTTTAATTTTAATTTTATTAGATTAATGTTCAGATGAAATTAAATTTAAACACTTATATTCTTCCTTGTTATGGAATAACAAAAGACCCCAAAACTGATGATTTTATGATGATTATGAAATTCGCGTCAGACGGCAGTCTTCGTCAATATTTGAATAAAAATTTTAAAAATTTAAAATGGGGTCCAAAGTTAAATATTATACGGACAGCAGCTGAAGGTCTTTATAATATTCATAAATCAAATTTAACTCATAAAAACCTTCATAGCGGAAATATAGTTATTGATAATGCTATTTGTTCTTATATTACGGACTTTGGAATATATAAGCCATCTGATTATGAATCGCAGGAACAAGCTAACAATCAAATTTTTGGTGTATTACCGTACATTGCTCCTGAGGTTCTTTATGGTGAAAAATATACACAAGCTGCCGATATTTATTCTTTTGGAATTCTTATGAATGAAGTAGCATCTGAACTTCCTCCTTATTATAATATTCCACATAATAATAATCTTGCTTTACAAATTAGTCAAGGTTATCGTCCTGAAATAAAAGAAAACTTCACTCCTCAATTAATTAGTGATTTAATTAAAAGATGCTGGGATGCAAGACCTGATCTTCGACCGACTGCTGAAGAATTGCACGATATTTTTGGAAGTTGGTATCATGATTATGATGATAAGAAAAAATTTCCTGAATTGTGGAATCAAATTGAATCGATTGAAAAGTCTCGAGTTTCTGAAAGTTCATCAAATGAAAATGATAAAACTACAAGAGCTTCTTATATTACTCATCATCAAGCTAACTACACTAGTTGTTCTTTAAGTTTTGCAAACCTTTCACAACCCGTAAATGCGTCGGATATCCTTGTATAAAAAAGGTTAAATCAGGTAAAATTCTCCTCAGATTATCTTAATTTAGTATTTAAAATATCGCTTTTTTTTTTTTGACTTGTTTTATTTTACTTCATGATAAATTCTTTTCTTGAATGTATATTTGTTTTTTTTTTAAAATTATTTATGTTATTAAGTGATTACCTATAAATTGTTCTTCTTATTTAAATTTGTTTTTTTAGTAATATTGTTTTAAAATACATATTCTGAGATATAATTTATATAACGATTACTGAAATTTTAAGAAATTTTGGTTATACAGTATTCGTGATTTGTAGTCTTATATAAATATATTAATAAAAATTTTATTACGATATTATCAAGTCAGTAAAAACTATTCTGACTCTTCAAATAAATACTTGTCTATTTTCCTATTTGCTATTATACAGTCTCTTTTTTTTCTTGTTCTTCATCTTCCCACAATAAAAGGTTTAGTTTACGGGTAACATACTTAATATCAGGAGGGTGCTATGTAAATATTAGAAAATTCGAATTCATACAAAAGTAACCGAATCGACTTGGTGGTGCTAATGATTACGAACATACAGTATAATCCATATAATAGATTTATATTATGTTGAAAAAAAAATTAATGAAAGATTTTCTAGATAAGTAGGTAGCTGCTGCATAGTAGATTCTATGTCAGGAACACGGAAAATTTAAATCAATATAAATCGAAATTTTTAGATCAAATCATGAAGAAGTCAATATTTTTAAAATTTTTATTGCAGTGTAACATTACCAAATTCTGCCAAAAATTAATAGCATAGTTTTGGCTGGTGATATAAATTTGGCCCACCCGGATCATCGGAAAGCTCGGAGAATAGTCAACAAACTGCAGGAAAGACCGTCCCAGATAGATAGGTACGTAGCAAGGACACGAATAATGATTACAGCTATTTCATTATTTTTGGAACATCTGGTAAAAAATTGGTCGAATGATTATTTGGCTGATTCGATAAGTCAGTGATGAACTTTTGGTTTGGGGTGATTAGTAATAAAAATAAGTTATGTTTTTACATTCCAAATTAGGTTTTCGCTTAAATATATGTCCAGTATGTTGGTGTGCATAATCTATATGAAAATTTATGGCGAAGGTTGTTCTTGCCAACCAATTGATCTTAATAAAAAACATAAAAAAGGTTCTGAATTTAAGCTTTCATAATAAATACATTACATGAGCAGGCGCTAATAAAAAAAAAGTTTCGTTATAATCAAGAATTTATTGACTGGATTGAAAAAAAATATAATTAGAGTTATAATTTCAAACAACCAAGATTTTAATATTTGCTGAAACTGCATTGAGAATTATAATCAACAAAATTAAAGTAATTAAAAGTTTTAATATAGGTTATAATAATTGTTATAAAATATATGTAGTGTTCCGCAAAAAAGATCCGAATGGATCCGGAATTTTTTATGGGTATTAAAGTAGCATTTTACAAAGGATACTCGAACTAAAACTGTACATATAATTAATATGGAAAACACACTAC